TCTTGGATAGGTAGGATCAATGTAGTAAAAATGGCAATCCTGCCAAAAGCAATCTACAGATTCAATGCAATCCCCATTAAAATCCCAGCACAATTCTTCACAGACCTTGAAAGAACAATAATCAATTTTGTATGGAAAAACAAAAGACCCAGGATAGCCAAAACAACCCTGTTCAACAAGGCAACGTCCGGAGGCATCACCATCCCTGACCTCAAGCTCTATTACAGAGCTATAGTCCTGAAAACAGCTTGGTATTGGCACAAAAATAGACAGGTAGACCAATGGAATCGAATTGAAAACCCGGGTATTAACCCACACACGTACGAACATCTGATCTTTGACAAAGAAGCTAAAAATATACAATGGAATAAAGAAAGCATCTTCAACAAATGGTGCTGGCATAATTGGAGACTGGCATGTAGAAGAATGCGGATCGATCCATGTTTATCGCCATGCACAAAACTTAAGTCCAAATGGATCAAAGACCTCAACATAAATCCAGCCACACTGAACCTCTTAGAAGAGAAAGTGGGTGGTACCCTTGAACGAATTGGTACAGGAGACAGCTTCCTGAACATAACACCAGTAGCACAGACAGTGAGATCAACAATTAATAAATGGGACCTCCTGAAACTGAGAAGCTTCTGTAAGGCAAAGGACACAGTCAGCAAGACAAAAAGGCAGCCAACAGAATGGGAAAAATATTCACTAATCCCACATCTGACAGAGGGTTGATCTCCAAAATTTACAAAGAACTCAAGAAGCAAGTCTCCAAAACACCAAAGGACCCTATTAAAAAGTGGGCTGCAGAACTAAATAGAGAGTTTTCAATAGAGGAGTCTAAAATGGCTGAGAGGCACTTGAGAAAGTGCTCAACATCCTTAGCCATCCGGGAAATGCAAATCAAAACAACTCTGAGATACCATCTCACTCCTGTCAGAATGGCTAAAATCAAAAACACCAATGACAATTTATGCTGGAGAGGATGTGGTGAAAGGGGAACACTCCTCCATTGCTGGTGGGAGTGCCAACTGGTTCAGCCACTTTGGAAATCAATATGGAGATTCCTCAGAAAAATGGGAATAAACCTACCACAAGACCCAGCAACTCCACTCTTAGGCATATATCCAAAAGATGCCCATTCATACAACAAAGATGTCTGTTCCACTATGTTCATAGCAGCTTTATTTGTAATAGCCAGAACTTGGAAGCAACCTAGATGTCCCTCACCCGAAGAATGGATAGAGAAAATGTTGTACATCTACACAATGGAGTACTATTCAGCACAAAAAATAATGGAATCATGAGATTCGCAGGCAAATGGATGACACTAGAAGAAACCATCCTGAGTGAGGTAACCCAGTCACAAAAAGAGAAACATGGCATGTACTCTCTCATATATGGATTTTAGACATAGATCTGGGGAGTGCCAGCCTACAATCCTATGGCCAGAGAGTCTGGGAAACAGAAACTTCATTTAGTGGCTGATCAAAGAAGAGGCAGACTCCCTTGGTTAAGTACTGAGCTGAACTCAAGAAAGCCAGTAACAGAGAGGGAGGACTGATGATCAAAGGGATTAAGACTGGGCTGGTTTAACCCCCAGAAACAGCTGACCAGGCAAAGGTTAACTCTTGAATCCCAGGCATCAGCCTGGGAATCCAGCATGGGACTGATCAAGACCCCCTGAATCTGGGTGTCAGTGAGGAGGCCTAGGGAATCTATTGAGCCTTGGGCAGCAGATCAGTACCCATCCCAAGTATACACACGGACTTTGGACTCCCATAGGACAATGTGAGGTGCACTCTCACCCTGAACTCTTGGGGAAGGGTCTAGGCCCTGCCCTATATGAAATGACAGACTATGCACACCCCCATGGAGGGCCTCACCCTCCCTGGGGAAATGCATACAAGAAACCCATCTCAACACCAAAGACAGACGTTATCTCAGAGTAAAGGGCTGGGAAAAGATCTTCCAATCAAACGGTCCCAAGAAACAAGCGGGTGTAGCAATCCTAATATCTAGCAAATTAGACTTCAAATTAAAATCAATCAAAAGAGATGAAGAAGGACACTTCGTATTCATCAAAGGAAAAATACATCAAGACGGAGTCTCAATTTTAAACATCTACGCCCCAAACACAAAGGCACTTACATTCGTGAAAGAAACATTACTAAAGCTCAAAATGCACATAAAATCTCACACACTAATAGTAGGAGACTTCAACACTCTGCTCTCACCGCTAGACAGTACCTTCAGACAGAAACTTAACAAAGAAACAAAAGAATTAATAGAAGTTATGACCCAACTGGGTTTAACAGACATCTATAGAACATTCCACCCAAATACAAAGGGATATACCTTCTTCTCGGCACCACATGGAACCTTTTCTAAAATTGACCACATAATAGGAAACATAGCAAATCTCCACAGATACAAAAAAATTGGAATAACCCCCTGCATCTTATCAGACCACCATGCATTAACATTAGAATTCAACAATAACACAAATCGCAGAAACCCTACAATCTCATGGAGATTGAACAATGCACAATTGCACCATCCCTGGGTAAAGGAACAAATAAAAAAAGAAATTAAAGTCTTCCTCAATTTCAGGAGAATGAAGACACAACATACACAAACTTATGGGACACTTTGAAAGCAGTGCTGAGAGGAAAGTTTATAGCTCTAAGTGCCCACATGAAAAAACTGGAGAACAGTCACACTAGAGAATTAATAGCACAGCTGAATGTTCTAGAACAAAAAGAAGCAAACTCCCCCAGGAGGAGCAGACGCCAGGAAATAATCAAATTGAGGGCTGAAATCAATCAAGTAGAAACCAGAAAAACACTGAGAAGAATCAATGAAACAAAGAGTTGGTTCTTTGAGAAAATCAACAAGATAGACAAACCTCTGTCCAAACTAACCACCCTCCCACCCTATTGCCAAATCCTTCCACATAGGGGATATCTAGAGTCTGTCATTTTACTCTGGGTAGGGTCCAGGCTGAGAGTGCATCCCTCTTTGTGCTATAGACACACGAAGACTGAAGACTGTTTGTATACCAGGGATAGACACTGATCCACAGCTCAGGGCCCCATAGTTTGCCCAGGCCTTCTCGCTGACACTCACATTTGGGGGGTCCAGATCAGTCCCATGCTGGCCTCCCCACTGTCAGTCTGGGGTCCAAGAGCTCTCCCCTGTTCAGATCAGCTGTCTCTGCTGGTTTTGCCAGCCCATTCTTTGCCAATTTGCTCATCACTCCTCTCTCTCTGTCACTGGGTTCCTTGGGTTCAGTTCAGTGATTAATTGTGTGTTTGCCTCTGCTTCCATCAGTCACAGGATGAAGGCTCCCGGATGGTTATAGACATCAAGTTCATTATCAGGAATGGGCATTCGAGGTGGTCTCTCCACTATTGCTTAGCTTGCCAATTGGTATTATCCCTTTAGATCACTCGAGGTCACTCTGGTGCCTAATCTGTATTCGATCCTATGATTTCCTCTTCCCCCTATTCTACCCCCACCCCCTCAACTTCCTGTTACCAAGGGTGGAGGCATTTTCTTAATTGAGGTTCTCTCCTCTCAGATGACTTTAGCTAGCTTGACATAAAACTATCCAGCACAATCAATCTACAATTATTTGCATGTGTAAGTCTATATAATAAAAGTATTCTCAATAATATTTATATTATTTAAGAATCTATAAGTACACATAAAAAGATTCTCTTCAGGCCGGGCGGTGGTGGCGCACGCCTTTAATCCCAGCACTCGGGAGGCAGAGAGGCAGGCGGGTCTCTGTGAGTTCGAGGCCGGGCTGGACCGACAGCCTCCAAAACAATACAGAGAAACCCTGTCTCGTAAAAACCAAAAAAATATTCTCTTCAGAAGAGACTAAGTATTGACAGAAAATAAATACATATATAAACACAAAATTAAGAGAAAATGAAATTATCATCTGTGTATGAACGGCCCTACTCTTCAAAGGATTATTTGTAGGAATAACCTAAGTACATGCTGCCCCATTACCAACCAACCACACAGAAGTCAAAGACTCAATGCCAACATAAATGTAGACTATATTCTGCATCACTGCAAATACACTAGAAATAAATAAAAAGATGGTCAGAAACCCTCAAGTGTTCAAATTAAACATTTAAGTAATAAAATGGGAAAATTCAGTTGAAACTAAAATGCTTGAAAACAATACATTAGATTTTTACATATAGCTTGCTCATAAAAGTCCACAATCAATGTTTATGTGGATGTAATCAAACTAAGTTGCCACTTAGCATAACAAGCTATGACTATGCTAATATTTGTCTATATATGCCTCTTTTAAAGGTGAAATGTTCCTTCCAATGTGTTCTTCTAATAGTTTGATATTTTAAGGCAGGTTGATAAAAACAAAGGGCTATGTTATTTTTCTTCCCTTACTGGAACCAACAGGTAGAACTGTATACAATTTTTCAATGCAGCAGGAGGAACAGGTACTCTCTGCCACCTTCCTAGTTCAGGTCCTTACAACACACATCAGTTAAATATGTATGTGAGTGTGTGTTTGTGTGTGTGTGTATATATATATATATGTAAATATATACATTATATACATATTCTATTTAATACATCGTTATGATGGTTATTGGATTTTATCTGAAGAATTTTAGGTTTGAAAGCAATACATTATGAAGAATATTCCTTTTTGTCTTTCACTTTTCTCAATATATTTAACATTGTATTCTTAATGTGTACACTAAGATAAAATGTGATTTAGTTTTGTTAGTTAACACTTTTAAATAATCTGTTGACTCTCTATGAAGGGCTCCTATGGAAGGGAAAGTAACTAGATTTCTTCCCTTGTGTTGGCTTGGTCCTGGGTCCTCTCCCAGGTGTGCCTGTGGTGCCAAGGAACAGAGCTGGGCTCTCCTTGCCCTGTTGTTGTTTTGGGATTCAGTAAAGGAGTCAGTCCCACATGGGCCCTCGGTCAGGTCTAAAGACCCTCTTACCTATTCTCCTCGTCTCTGTGATTGACTTCGTACTTCCCCAGAGTGTACTGCCGCACAAAAGATAAGTCTCCTGCACAGACTGCCATGTGCAGATCATTGTCAGGAAAGTATGGCACGTCTAAATACGCAGGATTCTGAGTACCAAAGCACAAGTTGTGTGACTTGATATCGCAGAAACCCAAGGGCATTTTTTCAAGACTCTCTTTTTGTTCGCTACAGAGCCTAGAGTAGCATTGGCAACACCCAGGCCACCTCCCTTCCTCTCGGCTGTACTTTCCTCCCATCTCAGGCACGGTTATAGCAAGTCAACCGTTACCCGCGCCAGTATCTCCATGTCGTATCAAATTATAAGCCCACCCTTCCTGATCCAAATATTATCATTTGTCTTAGACTAGTCAAGTCTTCCCAGCGTCCTCTCAAATCAGTCCCTGGTTTACTGTCTACCAACTGAAGAGACAGTTGATAGGACGGTTTCTGTCAAGCCATGCTGGTGGACGGTGTGCAGAATGCCAGCTGTGCACGTGTGCGGGCGTCTTAAGCCAAATAAGCCAATGAGGATCAATGCGCATGTGCACAGTCCAGCCTGTCAAATGTCTGCAGAGCAGACCTGCATTGCTTCAAAAAGAAAACGAAGCTGGAGGCATGGCTCAGTTTTAGGCATGTGTACTGCTTTTGCAAATGGACCTAGCTTGGTTTTCAGCACCCACCACAGGTGACTCACAAGCCTCTCCAGAAAATCCAACGCTTTCTCCTGGACTGTAGGCACCTACACTCACCCATGCCCAGTCCTTCACACACATAGTTCAAAGTAACCATTTTAAATGTTATTATCAGAGTGCTGGATGACTGTTTGCTCAAGGCTGCCTTGCTGTCATGGCAAAGCAGTCCTTGTATATGACTGTTGAAAAGGGAGGGGAGCTAAGAATGCCAAAGGTCTGCTCCTCAAGAAAATCTCTAAACGGACAACCTTTTTTTTTTTTGAGACAGGGTTTCTGTGTTAACAGTCCTGGCTGTCCTCAAACTCACTGTAGACCAGGCTGGCCTTGAACTCAGAGATCCACCTGCCTCTGCCTCACAAGTGCCAGTATTAAAAGTGTGAGCCATCACTGCCCAGCAAGAACAGCCTCCTAATTTCTAGTATTTTCCAAATCCAGTATGGTCCCTGCAGGTCTGTATGAGAATTCAACAATGGAACTAACAGTCTGTTCTCATAGTTTCAGAGATGTGTACGTATAAACTTCAAAGAAAACCTAATGCACACCCCATGCAAAATATCCACTAATGCAAGCTTTCTAGTCTCTCTTGCCCTGACTTCTTTATGTTATCCCTAGTTTTATTCTATTTGCTCACAAAATCTGCAATAATTCCAAGATTTGTTTTGGAAAGTAATATATTTTTGTCTTTTTAATGAACCATTTTCTTGTCCCAGCTCATCTTTTCTCAGTTATAATGCTATATTCAGTGACTTCTGGGTCCCAAACACTGCCAGGCTCAGGCTCATGACATCCTTCCTTGTCCTTTCTTTCTTCCCTCCCAAAACAGCTAATCTGTTCCTTCTCTTCCTCTTCTTCTTCCCCCGACTTCCTGTCCACCATGAACACCCACGTTCCCTCCAGCAGCACTATCAGCTTCTCAATCAACAAGCAAAATGAGAGTCCTTTGACAAAGCACATGGCTAAGGGACTTGTCAACTTGTCAGCTTTGACAGTAGCTCAGTCTTATGACATACTGCAAAGAATGCTTTCTTTGACACCCCCATTTTCAAATTCTGCAAACACGCAGATGCCCAAGATCTAGAACCCTCAAATCTCAGTCTCCTTTTCCAACACTACCTCATTCATTGCTGGAGTTCAGAGTTCCTGAAGTTTACCACGCCTACAACCACAGTGCTGCAGGAATCCACTTTACTCCACCCTACCCAACCCCTCAAGTGTTGCAGGTATCCAATTAACAAGTGCTCTGGTTCTGTTTTCAGCTCAGTGCATCGACACCCATCCTCCAGGCAACTTCTGATGGCAGGAATTCCCTCTCAGTTCTGTGCAATGTTATGATCCATGTGTGTGAGGACTGTTGAACGTTGCCTTAGAGGTATCAGTGTGAACCTTGGTATTAGTTCACATGCTCTGAAAAACTCAATTGTATTGCCTTAAAAGTCTTGTTCATTTTGATCGCTTAAGCCCTCTACCACATACTGTCTTTCTTCCAAGAAACAATATAGTGAAAACACATTAGCATTTTACACTGGATAATTATAACACCAATGTGTAATTTGGGAACACATGATCTGACATACATTCCTGGACAGGTTGAAAATATCATCTAATGAGAAAAACTAAAAAATAAAACCAAGAAAGTGAGAATTTTACACCAAATATTTAAAATATGGCAGTGAGTGTTCATTATTTTAAAACATCAATGTCA